ATTCTGAAAATCATGGTAATCTAATTGTAAGACAATATAAATATTGGAAGAATTTTATAAGAGTTTCCCTAATTAACATTGACCACAATAAAAATATTAATATCTATCACAATATGCGGTAAACGTTAATCACAGAAACCCATAAGATTCTTCCAATATATCGTCCCACGATTACCTCGATTTTCAGGGTAAATTCTAAGAGAAAATTCTCTGTAAATATAAATTTAATACATGATTATCAGGCTAAATTCTAAGAGGTAGAATTCTCTCCGTGTACAATACCCATGATTTGGATTTCGCACGCGGATAACCGCGTCTTGGGACCATCAGCCTCGGGGACCAGGCTGTTCTCCAGCTTCGATCGCGACGGCGCAGACGCGGGCTGTTATTGATCGTCGCGTGTCATGCGCGGTCGCGTGTCTCGCAACGCAAAACGCGCGTTGCGGGACGGTTCGCCTGGACGCGGGGCAGTGGCGGAGAATCCGCCAGTCCCCGCTGTGTCCGTCAGTCAGCCAGAGTGACAAGGCCGGAGCGACACCGCGTGCGAGTCGCTTGCGAAGAAACCAGTCGTCCTCGCCGACATCATCATCATCATCATCATCATCTTGGTGCGCGAAGAAGAAGAAGGAAGAAGCACTCTTCCGGAGGAAGATCATCGACGCAGCGTGAGGATCCTCTTCTCGGCCGCCTGGTCCATCGGAAGCATCCCGGGAGGAACCAACACGCCGTGCTCGCCGCCGGGAGAAAGTGACGTTCTCCGGCCCATGGCCGGCGGCTTTTCTCGGGGCCCCGTGTGAGTGAGGCCCCTGGTCTCCTCGAGGCATTCGCTCGCCGGGATTGGCTCGTCCAGAGGAAGCAAGGCGAACACGCGCCAATAGCGCGGGCCAGGCGGCCCCTCTTTGGATCTGTCGTCGTCGGAGAACCTCGAGAAGATGAGCCTGCTGTCGTCCTCCATCGGCGGCGTTCGCTTCCACGCGGATGAAGACGCCGACCACAACATGCTCCAGGGTAAATCCTCGTCGGGTAGCTCTTCTCCGCCGGACTCGCGCAGGTGATCGATATCCACGGATGTTGATCTAAATTCGTATCTGCGTTGAGAAAAAAAAACAAGGAGGTGTAGTAGGAGGCATCGATTGCTCGCGAGTCCGGCGGAATAAGCGTCGCTCCTCGCGCAACCCGTTGGTGTCAAGGCCGCAGCTGCCTGGCGAAGGATGCGCAGGTGCAACGGGCGTTAAAATTATACGAGAGTCGTGTCGTTTTCGAGGTCGATCTCGAGACGCCCGATGAGGCGCGACCGCTCGATTAGGAGAGGCTGTGCGAATCGGGATTCATCGTTTCAAGTGTACAATTCACACGTTAGAAACCAAGGCGGTCATTAATAAGCGACCTCGTAATCGACGCGAGCTCGGAGTCCGTTTTTAGATAACGTTTTTTTTTTTTTTTAATGTAACTCAACTCAAGTGTATAAACAGTCAACGTTGTTACGCGACAGAGTATTTTGCGCGCTGGATTATAATTATGCAATGAAGATTACGAGACACGAAATTTTTTCAAAGCGCGATTCCCCGTATGTTAATCCAGCTGTCTCTCTTAACATGAGAGATCGGCCTCGCGTGTTACATCAGGGCAAAACGACCGTAGCCGAAGACAGCGTGACTCATCGATTTGTCGCGCAATACCCGCACCCGATTGTCCGGGTGGATACCATGAGTGGAAAGCATCGGAAGGGGCTTTCGAAAGTATTTCTTCGTGGTCGCGTCTTCCTCGCATCCGACGAGGTGCTCGAGATCTGTTTTTTCCACGTTTTTTAATTTTTGAAACACATCGCTTAATATCGAATGATACACAGAGAGAATTTCCTCTTGGGATAATATGATACTTACGATATTTTTATATGAGTTTCTCTGATTGATATTTACCACAATTTCTTCGCGATCGCGTCTTCGTTGAAGCATCTTGACGAGATCATTTTTTAATTTTTGAAATATATCGCTTAATATCGAATGATACATAGAGAGAATTTTGTCTTGGAATTTCTTCTGAAAATCATGATAATAATCGTGGGGCAATATAATATTTATGATATTTTTGTAAGAGTTTCTCTGATTGATATTTACCACAATTTCTTCGCGATCGCGTCTTCATCAAAACATCTTGACCAGATCATTTTTTTTCAATATATATCGATATTTTTGAAATATATCGCTTAATATCGAATGATACTCAGAGAGAATTATCGTGGGACATTAGATATTTTTAAGAATTTCTCTAAAATATTTACTACAATAAAAAATATTAATCTATTTCGCAATAAAAAATGTTCGATTAATTTTTACTAAAATGCATAGTAAAATGAATCAAGAGGAACTCTTATAAAATTCTTCCAGCACCATATTGTCCCACGATTGCCACAATTTTCAGAATAAATTCTCTCGTATTTTTTTCTTAGGTAAAATAACATATACAAGATCTATACATTAAAAAAAATATAATTCTTGCTCTTTGATTCCGCGATTAATCGCGGCGGCCCGGTAAAAGACAGATAGAGATGAATGGGAGAGAAAGAGAGAAGCGCGCGCGATAAGCGGCGATTAAGCGCGATTAAATTTTATCGCCGCGAGTTGCGACCTTTACTGTTATTTCCGACGTCAATTGCCGGCTTAATCAGTCGGCGTGCGATCTGTTCGATAGCCACCGGGCACTTGAGATATGCACGTATTCCCTTCACCGGGACGGAGTATAATAGAATTTCTCCCTCATCTCGGAATTTAAATTAAACTCGTGATTTAGCTTGTGAAGCTCGCGGCACTTGATTAGCCTTCATTTCGCATCATCAGAGCGTCATTACACTCTCCTGCTCAATTTTCAAACGCCGCGAATCGAGATTCCCCTTCAACGCGTGCTCGAGGTAAACCGGCGTGTAACGCCGGAAACGCGAGTTTTACAGGATATTGATCGGCAGGAGTATATTTTAGATCGCGGAGTCTGCGCAGAGAGAGAGAGAGAGAGAGCCTCGGCAAATGAAACGTGGAGTCTGCGAACAAGTCTGGCATCAACTCTTCTGTCAACGCATCATTTTTCTCCTTTTGACAGAAGAGTTCTGACACATTTTTTATTTACAAGTTAATATTATACTTTAATATTTAAAATCGCTTGCACGATTTTTTCCAGAAAGGGGATATAATTAAATTCTTTTTAATTTGTTTAAATTTAATTTTTTATTTTTATTTTTTTTATATATAAAATATACAAATAAATTCGAGTGTTTATTCAAAAGGAGAGCAAAAGCTTAATTTTATTATACTGATTCTAAGAGGGGGCAAATGCATTGACAAAAGGGTTGAAGGCGTAATTTAGCAGAAAGAGATTCGCAAAGAAGTGTAGAGAAAAAAATTATTTAAATACAAAAGATCAATCGCGCGAGTTTCGAAATAAATTCGGACGATTTTAATAAATAATGAAACAAAAGTCTCGCATATAATCTCGCTCGTGGAGGACCATTCGTCTCCGCAGCTATTAAAGCAATGAAAAATCGGTCGTCGTAATAGAGCGCACGTACAATAATAGAGAGCGAGCACATAAAATAAATAAAGCACGATGATTTATGCAAACGACTCGCGCCATTTGCCGGTCGCGTTCTGGTTGCTACTTCCCGAGGAGGTAGAGACTGGCGTGCCTAATATCGTGCCGGGCAAAGAAAGGACGGTTGCGCATATTTACGAGCCACGAGTTCTCGGGGCACTCGCGCATGCAGGCGGCTTTTGCACGCGGTAAAGCAAAAATGCAACGTGTATGTGGGCCGCGAGCGGATAATGCGCGACCGACTTGGGCGCTCGCGGTAGTGACAGACGATTAATCGATAATTGTGGCGCGCGCCTCCGGAAAGAGGTGTCGCGGAATCAAGAACGCGCGAAAAATTCGCGATGTACCCTCCACAAGTTCGGAGACACCTTACATTTTATTATACAATTAAACAATCGCATGACAGATTTTTTGGATGAATATATGGTAAGATGTTTCAACGTGACGATACGAAAATGGCAATTTAAATATCTTATGATATCAGGGTGTCCAGCGGTCAGGGAAATCTGGAAAACCGGGTATTGACAGGGAAATTTATAAATCTGGAATTGTCAGGGACAAGTTTGGAAACACCTTACATTTTATACAATTAAACAATCGCATGACAGATTGGAAAAAATAATTAAATAACTAAAAAGTCAGGGAAAAAATGAAGTTCTGGTCTTGGAAAATCTGAACATCTGAAAAAGTTAGGGAATTTTTTTCATTGAGTCTACTGGACACCCTGATATAGTAAGATATTTAAATGTGACGATACGAAAATGTCAATTTAAATATTTTACGATATACTTATTCATACAAAAAAATCTGCACGAATCGCTGTCATGCGATTATTTAACATATTATAAAAAAAGATGGTGAACCAAGAGTTCGATCGGAGCTTGGAAATTCAAGGATTATAATTACCGCTTTCCCCTTTTCGAAGGGTGAAACCCCGCTAGGGTAGAGGGTTGCCATGAAACATCCTTTCTTGTTATTTCCCCTTCGTACATCGCGCATCGATCGCCTTAATGCGGTGGTTTCTGACCCGGCGAGAGTCCAACGATAACGCAAAGTCTCGGGTGAATAGTGTATCGGGGAGAACAAAAAGCGAGAAAGCACCGCGTCGGTGTAATGTATATTTCCCCTACCTTCCATTCTAACGCGGTATTCTATATTTAGATCGGCGATTATGCGAGCGAGACGCGATCAAATTGGAAAATGGAAAGAACGCGCGATTTTCGCTTGAATTTTCATTATCTTATCGCGTCCTTGTACTTTGACCGTCAGGAATTTTGGGATAAAAACAGCAGTGTATTTTGCCGTCGTAAATCGATTCGATTTGATTTCCCTCTATCAAATTATACGCGATATATCGAACTGATACAAGTCGAGTTCTGCAAACAAGTCACCTAGATATTTTATTTATAAGAACATACCTCTAAATAGGGCATTATCGTCCAATATCTTTCGTTATTCCGCAGTAATGGCATCGTTGCTTCGATCACCTTCCCCGTCGATATCTCGATAGATTGGTTATAAGAATAACTCTATTGTTGCCGGATAGCGAAAGAATCCTGGGCAAACGAGAAAGGAAATCGAACTTTCTCGTCGCGCGTCGCCTGCAATCAAAATATTATACACGCTCGCTTATGAATTGCGTTTAAAAATTTATCGCTTTGCAATATCTTTTGTTGACTTTTCCGCGCAAATGGATATAGAGAGGAAATTTATTTCGTCGAAATTATTCTCGTTATACGCGCAATTTCAACGTAAATTGACAGAGCAGTTTCAAGATCATTGAAAAACAGCTGACCCGGAAATTTAATCAAACTATCGGGATACGAAATGCCTGCATTCATCGATTATCTCCTTTATCCGAATTAATTGCCGACTTGTTTCCCAGATTAATCTCTTCCTAATCCGCATACAAGTTCCATTTACCGTAGCTCGACGTTTTTAATTAGTTCCAACCGTTCTCGTAGTGAAAGCGGTCTCTGATAAGACTCTGTTTTCACCCTAATAAGGGGCTGTTGGAGATTATCGAATTGTTTTTTATCATTTCAAACGTTGACGAACGTTTTGCACGGCCAGACAAATCCTTTCACTGTATATAGAAAGTATCCAAATTGTACGTCACCTTCGGCATTTGGAATTATAATTAATTGAATGGTATCGATATACGTTGATAATGAATTACGGCTTTCATGCGGTGAAAGGACGAGACAGGCGATCCAGTTTGGAAAAGGGTTCCCAATCGTTCACTTGTGCGTTACTTGTATACTTTCGACTATCAGCGGAAGCTTAGGGTGAATTTAGAAAATGCATTCCGAATTTATTGGATTTTTCACCGACTTCGGAACGAGTGAGAGAAATATTTCAGCGAAAAAATAAATAAGTACACGGATTTTTCTCTTGGAATTTATAGTATACAATATAATATTGGAAGAATTTTATAAGAGTTTATAAGAGTTTCTCTGATTTTAATATTTACCGCACATCTCAAATTTTGTCGTAAGGACACTTGTCCGTTCGATTATTAAAAAAAGACGTTTCTACTTTCTATTAAGCACATAAACGGCTTTTCTCGAATATAAATGATATGAAAGAAATACATACATATCCATGGGCGTCCACAGAGAGGGGCAAGAGGGCAAAAATGAAGCGCTTGCTCTCCCTTTGAACAAAACACTGGAATTTATTTGTATATTTAATATAAAAAAAAATGAAAAGAAAATAATAAAAAAATTTAATTATGCACAATCGTGGAAAAAATCTTGCGGACGCCTATGCATGTATATCCGTGTTTCTCAGACGTATAGTTCAAGTCTTACCGCGACACCTGCGCGTTAAACCGGAATTCCGGAGTCTAGACGTGCGTTATTGAAATCATAGATGGAAAGAGAGACGGACAGAGTGAGAGAGAGAGTTTGCGAAAAGAAAACACGTTAACGCACTCTGCGTCGTACATCAGCATCGGTCCACGAACTTTCCAATGTCGTGCACCTTCCGTTTCACCTCGCGGCCAAACAGAACGGAACCGAGTCCCCGAGCATGTATTTATATCGGCTAATTTCGTCGGTCGGGAGTGCAATCACCCTTCCTCGTTCGACCATCAATTAAAACGGCCGATTGGATTTTGTCGAGCGACACGATTAATGAATCGCGCGAAGCGATGTTCGTCTAATCACGAGGAAAGTCGCCCGCGCGTGCTTCTTTGACGAGAATCTGATTGGATTATAATTATTGCCCCGGGGCGATAGAAGGCGATAGAAGGATGGGAGTATTTCCTTCGTGAATGCTGTTTGCTTCCTGTCTTGCGTGCGGAAAAGAGAGAGAGACTCGTCGATTCTAAAGCTAATCTGTTGAATATATCTGTTTATCTAGCGCGCGCTTATTAGTTTGCGGGATTATCAAGATTATTGCGAACGTTTATTAAGTGATTTTTTTTAACGTCCGATAAGGAATTCCGGCTCGGACGAATTTATTTATTTAAATTAATAAATCAAAAAGGCTCTAACATATAAATACGAATTTAAATACACATTAAAGAGAATTTTCTCTTAGAATTTATCTTGAAAATTATGGTAATCGTGGGACAATATGATAAGAGTTTCTCTGATTAAATATATTTACCACAATAAAAAAATATTAATATCTGCCACAATAAGATATGAAATATCTTCGATTAATTTTACTATGTACATGTTAATATTTTTTATTGCGGTAAATATTAATCAGAAAAGCTCTTATAAAATTCTTCCAATATTATATTGTATACTATAAATTCCAAGAGAAAATTCTCTCCGTCGTATAAAAGGATAATTCAGATATGAAATAAGTACATAGAGGAACTTAAAAATAATTTTGTCGCGTCTAATATCTGACGAACCTTTTTATATCAGAATTCTTGTTTTTATTTTTCGCTCTTTACGTGTTTTCGCTGAAATATTTCTCTCGCTCGTTCTAAAATCCATGAGAAATCTAATAAATTGCGGGAAAAAAAACTTGCTGTCTCATTCAAGACTCGGCCGGTTCTGTCGACGGGACGACTCGATTAATCGAAGCGTTTAGCGCAGGAAACACGCGCGATTCCGTGATCAAAGTTCGCGCGCACGACCTGGCCGGAACGGCTAAAAACTCGACGGACTCGCGGATTCTCATCCCGTGTAACACTTTGACGATCTCGCGTCGATTAGTCCGACCGATTCCCATGCGCGATACACTTTATCCGTGAGAACCGATCATATTTTGATTCTCGAGGGACACAAAAAGTATCGGTATCGATCAAAGAGAAAAGGGAGAAGGAAAAGAAAAGATAGAGATCCATGCACCGACTATACCTCGGAACCTGTTGGATTTTAATAGCGACGATCGGCACGAATCCGATCGTCGACCAGGTTGGTGCACGGTCGAGCGATTATACGCCCGGTAACGGTACAAGGTGCATTCGGGATGACCGAGAGAGGAGGCCCCTCGTAGAGAGATGCCTATCCTCGCGTAGAGAGATGTATACAGCCGGCGAATCTCCGTGACCTGGAACGGAAAGGCTCCGACTCCGAGAGTCGTTCCCTCTTCGAGATATCGCGTATACTCTTCTCGCTTACAAATGTATATATCGTCTGTTAATCAATCGAATGACCGTATAAAAAAGCCATCTCCGTCTTTCGCAGCTACAGAATAACGTAACCGTTACAATATACCGATAAAGTTATTTAATGCAGATAACGCGCGGTTAAACTTGGCGAGAGAAAGAGAGAAGGAGTTAAGCTCGTGATGCAAAGAGACAAACCGTAATGGTATATAGAAAGTGCGATGCAGGTGCGCAAATGGATGCGCGTCGCGTTGATTGGCGCGTATAAAACTCGCAATATCTCGCGTAATTATTCGTCTCTTAAGCCGACAAGTGCGATAAACCAACATCGATGTTATCGTGTAAAGAACCGGCGAGAGGAGGACGTTTCGTTGCATCTTCTCGTAGTGAGAATTATTTTACGACGATAACATCGTACGTGGATCTCCGAGTTGCAATTTTGCTTCTATTTTTAATCGACTTTCTTTCAGTTGCGAATTTACGATATGAATTATTGAGCTCTTCCACATACTTATACTTCATCAACCAATAAACTAAGAGTTTCCTACCTAAAGGTTCAGAAGAAAGAGCTTTCGTCAAAATTCTTCATTGGAGCAACAACGGGCGACTTTTTCTTGATGTTCCATGTTTCTTAAAAAAATTGCTAGTTGTTGCTGAAAGTTTCAAGCTCCTCATTGCTTCAGTGAGGACGTAGCTTATGAAACACTTTCAGCAACAACTAGCAACTTTTTAGAAAACATGGAACTTCAACAAAACTCATTAAGCATTAAAAAGTTGCTCTGTTCCCGTAAGGACGCAGCTTATGAAACTTTCAGCGACTAGCAACTTTTTTAAGAAACATGGAACACGAACGAAAAATTGCTCGTTGCTGCTCCAGCGAGGACATATCTTTCGATCGAAAGATGGAGAGCGTTTTCGACTCGGACGTCCGTTCGTCTTCCGAATAAATCTCTTCCTTAAATCCTCTCACACGCGTGTCCTCATTAGAATATCTCTCTCCTCGCCTCCCTCGCAATCTCTGACCCAAATGCACCGGCCGGTTGCCTCTCTCGTTGACCGTGCACTTCTATCGACCCGCGGCGATAGCATTATTCCACCTCGTGTGGAATCCTTCTCGCGGAAGGGAACGGAATCGGCTCCGTCATTCATCATCACACATCTCTCTTTCTCTATCTTCTCTCGACTGTATCGTCCGCAAAATTCCCTCGTTACTATTTATACGATAACTGCTCTCCGCGTATTCTGTTATATCCGCGCGTGTAGGCGAGCGCGTGTTTCTTCTTTCTCACCTATTGAACGACGACGTTCACTGGGTGAGCGAACGGTATGCGGCTTATTGCATTCCCGAGGTGCAACCCGGTGCACGCGCGCTTTCGTCGTCTTCCCACATACCCAGTTCTCGTGGGTGTCCGAGCGAAGAATTTTTTTATTTTTTTTTTTGAGCGCGATGGAGAAGAGACCGGAATTTTACCTGTCGCCTCCCGAAATACGAGGACACGAATACACACATATTTCTGTTTCCATCGCGAGGCGCGCGCATATCTCGCCGATTACGTCAGCGCGAGGAACGTGGAACGAATTAAAAATCTCGTAATATGTGTACGAAGGTCACGCTCGGCGTACCGCGTAAGATTGTTGTGTGTTGCGCCAACGAAAATCGGGCACGCGCGTAACGCGACGGATAAATAATGGGTTTAGCAAAATATATTTCTCGTTAATTAATTTTATTATATCCGAAGATGGAAGGATAAGGAAGCCTGGCATTGGCGCGCTTTTTTTTCAATCCGGTTCATTATTGTTGGTCAAAATCCGAATTGCGTCGTCGAACTGTCAATCGATCAGCTGACGCGTCGGACGGAATAATAAATCTGGCTTTCTCGCCTGCTTTCCGTGGAAAATCAAAGTAATTTTCGCGAGACTAGTTGACATTTCCGGAATTTACACAAGTTCCTTCCTATTACGATATCGTCGTAATTAAATGACATTAACCCTTGATTATACTCCTCGTAAAGTCGTCCATCTAATACT